TTGACCGTTCTCTAACGAGCTGTGTGACCCCAGTGCTGGGTATCAGAGGTGACCACACAGAAAGCAATCCGCCTGCGAGGGGCTCACTGTCTACCAGATGAGTAAGATAAGGTTAGTTCCGAAAAATCAGTGAGAGGAGCTATGAGATAGGAAGTGTTCTGGGCCATCCTAGTCGGGCTTCAGCACAGGGCAACCTCCCTAACCCCCCTTCCTTTTTGTTACCTGCCAACAGTCACTCTGCAAAAGAGTCGTTTTCCTTCATTCCGTAACGTGTCCTGTGGTGTGGGGTAAGCCTCAAAGCCCCCCTTGACTCCCTGTTCATTCCATGAAACAGTTTCCATGCCCCCCCATTGCTACTGTGAAGTTATATTCTATGCCCTCCAGGAGGCTCGGAACCCCCCTCCCAAACACCTTCAGGGCATCATAATGAGTATTGTTTCTTTTGGATGTTTTTTAGGGTTAATACCCTAGATTTATTTTTTTTTTGATACCAGAAAATTACAAAGCATTAAGAAAAAAAAAAACCTAGATATCGTAGGCTATCCTGAGGACTAAGAGACCCCTTGAGCCAAAAATCTGTTTCCAAATAACTCTAGGGACCCTGCTTGAAATCTTAGCTCCTCCCTCTGTGCTGTCTGCCTTCCAGAAGCCGCCCTCTCTCAGGCTATCACCCGCCTGGCTCCCAGGTCCATGTCCTTTCTCCCTTCTCTCAAGGCCATTCATTTTAAAGCAAAAAACGTTCATCTTTTCTCTTCTCTGTCACAGGGATCTTAGACTTTCTGATCGCAGAAAACAACCCTCAGGAAATAAAGCTGTGTGGGCAGAGTGTGAGCCTGTGTGGGGACAGCCGGGTGGCAGGAGGGAAGAGCAAGGCAGGGAGAGCTCAGGGTCAGCGCCGAGCCGGCTTCGGCATGTGCTCCAGAATCTTCCAATCCCAGGACCTGGCCCACTGGTTACCTGAACAGCACAGCTGGGTTTCAGCCGTAACCAGGAAAGCACGAAACTGGTGTGTAGTGACCCCACTGCAATCAAGGGCATCAGGGGAGACGGTACTCCCCAGGTGGATGCTGGGACTCCCCGGGTGGGTGCTGCTGCCACCAGCAGACCCTTCATCCTGATCTCACTGGTTGTAGGCACGCCTCCATGGAGAGCTAAGAAGTCCTACTGAAAGGTGGCGGGTGGAAAAAAAATGGCCCTGCTGGTAAAGATGCTTTATAAAGAATATCTGTAAGTCTGAAACTGCTCTGAAAGTGCCATCTTTTAACTGAAAAAAAGAAAAAGGAAGGAAGGAAGGAGGGAGGGAGAGAGGAAGGAAGGAAGGGACACAGGAGAAATGACTCAATGAAGGCACTGGTTCCTCTCCCAGAGGACCTGGGTTCAATCGGTACCCATGCCATGGCTCACACAGTCTGAAACTCCAGTTCCTGGGATTCAGCGCCCTCTCCTGGCCTGTGTGGGTACCGCGTGCATGTGGTACACAGGCTCACATGCAGGCAAGGCGCCCATAAACATAAAATACCTTTTTAAAGATTCAGGAAAAGGAAAGTAGAGAAGGAAGGAACGGATGGAGAGGTAGAAGCCAGGCCCTGATCAATGGGAAGCTTGCTGAGCTGAAGACAGCCTGATGGCAGCTGTCTGTCACCTGATCCACACCGTTTCACACTACAACCTGTCTCCATGCGGCAGATACCCAGGAAAATCCGCTAAACACAAACAAGCAACAACAAAATCCCCAGCTGCCTGGGGCCGGTGGTGGTTGGGAAATAGAGGGAGAATGGCGGCCACTGGGGGCCGCAGCAACACTTAGCCCTTCTGCAGGAAGTCTAAGAATCTGACACCAGAAAGAATTTGGAGCGAGAGTTCACAAGAGTGAAAGCTTCCGGGTGATGGGAAGTCCTGTGTATATGTCAATAAAGCACTGTTGGCCAATAGGGAAGCAAGATAGGTGGGACTAGGAGTCCAGGAGGACTCTGGGTAGGAGAAACACGGGAGTCACAATGTAACCCACCATAGGGGTAAGAAGCCCGGAAACTTTTCTCCGGTAAGAGAGATACTTAGATTAACAATTATGGGATAAATACTTAAGTCAGAGATAGCCACTAAGAAACAAGCAAGGCCAACAGCTTCATAATTAATACAGCGTCTTGTGTGTTATTTGGGGACCACAACGCGGCAGAGCCCAGGTGACTGGTGGGGAAAAACCAAGCAACTGACAAGAAGAAGGCTTCTCTCTACATCCGGGAATCTGTGGAATTGTGCAATTGTGGCCACCACCTACAGGTGGCCTTTGGGCGCTCACAACAGGAGGAGTCCAAATTGGTGTGTGTTAAGCTAGAGTGAAAAGAAGCCAGATACCTCAATAATGGTAAGTTAATCAAAATATTATTTTGATACAGAAAGCTAAATGAAATATATTATGAAAACAAAGTGTACCTGTCCCTTGCCACCTTTCTAACGTATCAGAGTATTCTGAGTTGCACATACAGCTTTGAGGACTGATGGACGCATCTCTAGAGTGGTTGGGAATGCCACAGGTCCCCTTCAGGGACCACCTTCAGAGGGTTGGGACACAAGACAGCATACTCTGACAGACTAAGTGCGAGAAGACACAAACTGACAGGAATAGAGGACTTTCTTTGCTTTAGCAACTTTTCGTTAAATTGCCAAGTAATTCCTGAGAAACAGCACATGCTCTAAAAATAGAACTCAGTCTAAGGGAAAAAAAAATCAATGCTTCAGGAACACATTTACAGCATGAAACAAGGTACAATTTTCCAACGTGAAGAAGCTATTCTCAGTCATTGGATTTAAACTAGAAAAAATGACTCATCGGCGTATGGGGGACTATGTCTTTGAATCCCTCCAAGTACGGGGCAGCGACCACCCAGGTCTGAGGTCAACACGATCCAAGTTCACTAGAAATACCAGACACATGCATGGCTGCAGTCATTTACATGTTGTATTTATATGTCATCTATTTCTTGAGACCATGTCTCGGGAAATTCATGAGTACAAGGTACAAAAATAAAATGCTGACTCCAAGTTATCCAAATTGACTGGAACCGGAAACCAGTTTCTCAGGCATGCTGTGTATGAAGTTAGTCTAGTTCCTCTAGGATCTGCATCATATGCATTTATGGTTTCCCGAATATAGCACATGCAAGCTTCAGATCTGAGGTGATGTGATAGCCCACGGTCCAGTACGATTACTTTATAGATTGGGTGCTGGGCCGCAGAGAGGCGTGTAACTTGCCTGAGACCACATTGCTTACTGACATGTGACATGTCTATGGTACAGGTGTGGGGAATCACATGGGTCATATATAAACTCCAGCTGGCCATACTTACTCCAGAAGCTTTTTTAAAAATAAGGACCAAATAACTGCTGTGTATGATGTGTGCATTAGAACACTTCTTTTAAATAAATTTAGTTGTATGGACAGGTAGCTTAGGTAGTAGAGCAGAGTTCACACCTAGGGTGCCTATAGGGAAGCCTGGTGTCCAGGAATGAGGAGTCAAGCACCAGGCAGGTGCAAAGAGAAGACAGGAAGCGACCCCTTGCCTCAGGGGCTCCTGTTTCCCTGCCCCCACATTGCTGACACACACATCCCAAGCACCCAGACACTTTCGGAACTCCGGCGACCTGTTTTCCAAATCACACACCAAGCACTCTCCTTCCCCTTTCCACGAAGTACACCGTTATGGCATTTCAGAGGACTCGGACTAACTGAGCCAGCCTGTGTGAGCTACAGGACACAGCTTCATGGACAATGATGTTAAGTTGCTATCACGTGGATGGGAGTTGCTTTTCTGTGTGGACGCTAAATGTTCACATCTTGACATGGTGAGTACACACACACACACACACACACACACACACAGTGACTTAGCATCCAATCTCTTATCTAAAAGGGTTTTTGTGTCTTTTCAATTTTATGTGTATGAATGTTTGTCTACATGTGTATATACGAAGCACATACATGATGTGTTCACTGAGGCCAATAGTGAGCGCCAGACCCTATGGAACTGGAGCTACAGATGTCTGTTAGAGCCACTGTGTGGGTTCTGGGAACTGACTGGCTGGGGTCCTCTGCAAGAACATCAAGTGCCCCTAACCACTGAGCCATCCCTCTAGCCCTGGGCATCTCACAGTAAAAGTTTTCCAGTGCTTCCGTAAACAATGGATAGCAAAGTTACTGTACTAGGAATCTCTTGTTTTATGGGGGGGGAATACCAAAATCTCAAAAACTTCATTGTATTTCTATAAAGCTTCCCCCCACCCCACCCCCCACTCCCCACGCTCTGCCCAGCAATCAGGATTAGGACCTTAATGAATGCCTCAGGGACTTTGTCTTCAGAGGGTCTGGTATCCCAGAAGTCTAATCTATTTCTAAACTAGAGTTAAGGACCTTTTTAAAGCATTCAGGTATCACCCAAGGGTCTAGGGTGGCATTCAGAGGGTTTTGATGACTACACACCACTCACCAGGATGCCCAGGTATCACCCAAGGTCTGAGTGGCATTCAGAGTGTTCTGATAGCTATACGCCACTGACAAAATGCCCAGGTATCACCTAGGGTCTGAGTGGCATTCAGAGTGTTCTGATAGCTACACACCACTGACAAAATGCCCAGGTATCACCCAGGGGTCTGGGTGACATTCAGAGGACCATTCTGATAGCTATACACCACTGATCAAGATGCTCAGGTATGACCCAGGGTCTGAGTGGCATTCAGAGTGTTCTGATAGCTACACACCACTGACAAAATGCCCAGGTATCACCCAGGGGTCTGGGTGACATTTAGAGGACCATTCTGATAGCTATACAACCACTGAGCAAGATGCTCAGGTATCCCCCAGGGGTGTGGGGTGGTGTTCAGAGGGTACTGATGGCTACAGGCCACTAAGCAGGATGCTCAGGTATCCCCCAGGGGTCTGGGGTGGCACTCAGAGGGAAATGATGGCTACATGACACTGAGCAGGATGCTGGAGGTACCGTACCTTTGCAGGTGAAACATTTGATGTGGAAATGCTTGGTCTGGACCCGAAGGACCTCCCCCTTGCACGGCTCCCCGCATTTATGGCAGTGAATGGCGGGCTTCTCTGACGAGTGGTGGGGTTCCTGGGGGTGGGCCACTGGAAAGAAACAGTAAAAGACTTAGGTGAAAAAGGAAGCATTCCTAGAAAAGCGCCTTTGCAAGAATGTGTGACCGTCCCCAGCTTGCAGCGGTGAGTGAGCTACAGGCCCGCTCAATGGGCATGGGGTGGACACACCCACCCCGCCCCCATGATCTTGGACCCACAGCTGCTGGGGTCAGTGGCAGCCTTAACAGTCCCCACTGGGGACACACGTGCTGCCTTCTGCCTTCTGCCTCAACCTCTCCAGGGCTGCGGACTGTACAAACACCATCCCCTTTCGCTCAGTGTTTTGCAGTCAGTAGTTGTGGCATCTTTTTTTTTGTTTTGTTTTTGTTTTTTTGCTGATTTGGCACATTCCAGCAGGCATAAAGCAAAGGTTACTTAGAAGTGGGGATCGTCTCTTTACAGCCTGCTTGGCTTCTTTCCTAGTTGTATTTCGTGTCCCAGCTCATGCATTGACAACAACTTGGGTTGTATGGGACATTTCTCACTGCCATCATCAGAGAGCATTTTCTATCTTAACCTGGGGACCCATCTAACCTACACGAGACTATCATCATGTACACGGTTCCTCACATACATTACGAGCAAAAAGTTAAAAAAAAATAGCAACCTGCAAAGCCTGGGTCCTCCTGCACCTGTCTTGAGTCCCTGCCCATAAGGCAAATGGGACTGGACCAGTTGAGTGCATATGAGGGAACTCACAGATATTATATCCCTAGATCTGATGGGGGATGTCCCTCTGTGTGCTGAGGATATGGGTTTCTCTTACTGGTTGATGAATAAAGCTCTTGTGGCCAGTGGTCAGACAGGAGGTAGCCAGGCAGAAAATCCAAACAGGGATAGAGAAAGCAAGTCATCCAGACATGACTGGTAAGCCAAGACCACATGGAGATACACAGAATAATAGAAATGGGTTAATAATTAAGAGAGAGCTAGTCAATAAGAAGCCTGAGCCATTGGCCAAACAGTTTACAATTATAATCTGTGTGTTTATTTGGGACTAAACGGCGGAGGGACAGGGCAGGATAGAAACGTCCATCTACATAGATCCACAGCATAGTTTTCAGAAAATGAAAGGTAACTTGGCTCTCCTGGCCTCAGGGTCACGCGCAGATCCTGAATTAACTGCAGAGGGACAGCACCTGGGTTTCAGCAGCCTCAAGGGTTTGTCTCTCTTGCAGGTTACTTGGCTAGAGACTGTCTGTCAACAAATGCCACCAACAGCTTCCTTAGCTGGTTGAAGAGCCTTAGAACCCACGCGACACACATCCGGGGATCTGCACTTGACCAACCAACACAGAGCGGTGACAATTTAAAACATTTTTTTAAATGTTTGTCAAGTAGGAAAGCTTCCCTGGACATCTCGTGTGAGACTAAGACCCAATGCAGGAAGGACGCTGGAGTGAGAAGCCAGCCGTGTATAATACCACATGTATGAAAGCATGGCATGTCTTCCCTGGTGGTCTCCTATCCAAGCGCTAACCAGGCCCAACCCTGTTTAGCTTCTGAGATGGGTGTGTTCAGGGTGGTATGGCCACAGACAAGCACAGCCTGTATAACAGCGTGTTGCTCGGTATAGAGCTCCCCGCCCCCCCTTCTCATTTTGCTTAGAAGAGTTTTGGCAAGACTGCACAAACAACCAGTTCCTGGCCCCGTTTCTGAAGAACAAGGTTCTTCTTGTGAGGTTTTGATCAGGAGCAGGTGTGGTTTCAAGCTACACATGTGACCAAATTCTTAGCATCTCTGCCTGGATCCCAAGAACGCCGGGAGGCGGGGACCCAGCATTGCAAGCCTCCTGCATTCCTTTGCCTACCTGATAAGATCTTTCTCTCTGTTTACCACCAAGTTCACATTTTCTACAGGAATTCAGGAGGGGCATGCATGCCATCAAGATCTCTGAGAGCAATGTCTGCCAAGGCCAACAATCTATTCACACAGGCATTAAGAAAAAACAAACAAACAAACAAACGCTCTCCCAAGAGTGCCTGCTCCCGATGGATGCTGATGCTGACTCCTCCAGTTAACTCTTTTTTTCCCCAGCAAAGTTATCATCACTGGGTATTACACTAATCCTGGGCATGGTTCTTGTCTGTCAGTCATTTTATTCCATTTGCACCACCCTTGCCTGGCAGTGGGATGAGCAATGCTGGCCCCATTTGATGGATACCGGAGCTGGCCTTCAGAGGTGCTGAGCGGAGCTCTCAAAGTAGCAGCCAGTGTGAAAGCAAAGGCCCCCACCTTGGCCCTTCTTAGACCTACTGTGCTTCTCCCAGACTATTAGGATAAGCCAGGAAATTGTTACAAGCAGGATATTTACTTAGCCATTTTTATGCACAATTCTAAAATCTACATCTAGGGTTTGGCTTTCAGAAAGAACACAGACAGCATATGTCGAAAGGGTGTCTCTAGGTGGGTCCAGGATCCTGGTTATCACCAAAGTAATTGGGCAACCCTGGAATTAGAAATCCCTGAGATAGCCAAACACTGAGCTGAACTCAAGGAACCCAGTGACAGAGAGGGAGGACTGATGAGCAAAGGGGTCAAGACTGGGCTGGTTTAACCCCCAGAAACAGCTGACCTGACAAGGGTTAGCTCTTGAATCCCAGACTGATGGCTATGATTCCATCATGGGACTGATCAAGACCCCCTGAATGTGGGTGTCAGTGAGGAGGCCTAGGTAATCTATTGAGCCTTGGGTAGTAGGATTGGTATTTATCCCTGGTATACAAATGGACTTTGGGTGCCCATCCAACAATGAGACATGCACTCTCACCCTGGACTCTTGGGAGAGGGTCTAGGCCCTGCCCTGGATGAAATGACAGACTATGGACTCCCCCATGGAGGGCCTCACCCTCCCTGGGGAAATGAGGGGATATTGGAGGGGTTGGTGGGAGGGCGCAGGAGGAGGGGAGGGAAAGGGAGAGAGGAACCTGGGATTGACATGTGAAACAACCTTGTTTCTAATTTAAATTTAAATTAAAAAAAAAGAAATTCCTGTGACATATATTTAGAAGGGCAAATGTTATTTCGTCCCTAAGGGCTATCATATAAAAGATTTAAAAAAATAACAAATGCTGGGGGTGTGTCTCCTGGAAAAGCAGAATTCCCAGACACAGTTGGTCAGAATGTAAATTAGTATAGTGTTGTGGAAAATACTATGGCTGTTCCAACCGACAATCCGAACACAGATAGATACCCAAAGGGAATGAAATCATGCTGACGAACCGATGCCAATGGCCGAGAAATGGATAAAGAAAACATGGCATATCTATCTACACAATGCAGTATTATTTATCCATAAAAAGAAAGAAACCTGCTCTCTTACAGCAACATGAATGAAACAGGAGGCCATTACATCAAGGGATCAAAGTCAGGCTCAGAAAGATGCACGTCGTGTGTTCTCAAATATATGCGCTGACCTCCTGGAGGTGGACAATGCTGCCATGGTTACCAGAGCCTGGGAATGCTGTGGGTGAGGGAGGGATGGAGGTCGGGTGGTTAACACTCTCAGAGAGCTGTCGGGCTTGAGGAGATGATGGGAGAAGTCCTTCCGTGTATGTGCTTATTTTATTGGTTGTTGAATAACGCACTCTTGGCCAATAGGGAAGCAAGATAGGTGGGACTAGGTGTCGAGGAGGATTCTGGGAAGGTGAGGCACAGTCGGTCACGATGTAGGATGCCAGAGGAGTAAGAGGTCCAGGGGGACCCTGTTCTCTGGCAAGAGAAGACCGCATGGAAAATATTTAGATTAGCAGCTATGGATTAATAATTAAGCCAGAGCTAGCCAATAAGAGACCAAGCAAACAGCCAGCAGCTTTATAATTAATATAGCATCCTGTGTGCTATTTGGGGGCTAGTGGCTACGGGACCCAGGCGGGAAGACAACACGTTATGAGGAATGGCTTCCAGTGTGTTGCAGCACGTCAGAATAGCTATGGTTGACAACTGAGTGTTATGACAGGCCCCCAATGCAAAGGAAGGGTAAGTGTCCTAGGTGATGGATAAACCAAATACCACAATCGGATCACACAACACACACCAGTAGTATTAAAACATTACACTGTGCTCTGTAAGTATATACAATTACTACGTGTTGGTCAAAAAAATAATAACCAGGCATGGTGTCACATGCCTTGAATCCAGTCCAAGAAAGGCTGACGCAGGGAGATCAGGAGTTGCGAGGCTAACTTGAACAACACGGTGACTCTTCATCTCAACAAACTAATAAATGAAATAAAATGATTTTTAAAAATGCAGGTCTCCCCCACCCCCAACATTGCCCAGGAGTAGGGATCAAGAATCTCTTTTTAGGAAACCTCTCAGGCAATTCTGACACATACTGCAGATGGGGGAACTTCAGTATTCTTTCCTGAAGAGTGTCTTTACTTTTATTTTTAGTTGTGTGTGTATGCATGTGGGTTTGTGAACATGAGCACAGTGTCCATGGAGGCCAGAAGAGAAATAGATCCCCCAGATTTGGAGATCCAGCTGTTTGTGGGATGCCCCTGTAGGTCCTGGGAACCCAAACTCAGGTCCTCTGAAAGACATGTGTGGACCTTAACCACTGAGCCAACGTGCCCTGAATGCTAGCATTCTTATCATAGAGTAGGCCTGCTGAAAAAAATTAGGGTTTACAGCACACCTCTCAAGACCACCCTCATCAGCATATCTTACATGTGTGTACCACGAGAACCAGGAGGACCCGTCCTCTCCAGAAACAATGTGACAACACAGGACATCCCTCAAGCAGAGAGTGAGTTTCTGCCTAAGAAACCCTGAGACTTCTCCTGTCTTTCAACTTCACGCTGCTGAGCAAGCCAGCCAGGCCGACTCAGGATGAGACAAGGACGGTATCTGCCAGTCTTGGCTTTTCCGTGTATGTGAATAAGAGGGTCAGCTCAACTGTTGGCAGCTGCAGAGACCAACACCTGCATTCTGCACGCCTTTCCCTTTAGAAAGATGTATCACACCTGGAGGCTGGAGAGGACTTTCAC